CCCCCCCCCCCCCCCACCAAAAAAAGAAAAAATCACCTGCCACCAACCACCATCTCAAAAGCCAGCTCCACCAAGAAAAGAGATATTTCATCGAAAACAAGGGCAGTTAAACTGTAGTAGAATCATTTTGTGAAAGATGAAAATGCCTTGCTAGATACTAGGTCTCACCCCGGAAAAAATTAATAGTAAGTTTTGAGGAACATTTTAAGGAGTAGTGGTGAGATAACGAAATATACAAATAATAATGAGTAATAATTTTGAATATGTAATTAAAATTAATCTTTGATTTTGATCGAATAGTAAAAATAAATTATAAGTTCATAAAATGTTTTGCAAACATAGGCTAGAATAGCCTAGCACTAGAAACCTTGGACTTGTGGATCATTGTATCCAACATCCTCCTCTTAAGAAAGACACAAGTACTACATATATAGGGATTTGTGCAAGGCAAAAATTTCTCTAGACTGCCCTTATATGTATATTTGTATCTAGCTAAATGCATGAAGAGAGTATATTTAGTGGTCCTCTCTCGAAAGTGAAAGCCATACCAACATCCTCTTACATGTTATAGTCATGTATAAAACGTGGTGTGCTGTCCAAAACCGATTGAAAATTTTTTTTTTTAAAAAAAACATACAACTTACAAAAGTTTACGCCTTTTGTCAGAATTTAGGTGTGATCTTGATTCTTTGTTGAAGATAATTTGGAGTTCTAATTAAAGTGCACATTAAGAATTCCATTCGGAATGCTGTTCTTGAATCCTATTCAAGTTTACTTGACGAATTCTAATTGAAGTTTTACTTAAAAGCCTATTGTGAGTATAAATTTGTGTTGGACTTGAATAGGACTTTAGAATGAAGAAAAACACTTTTCGAAGGTTTTTGGATGAAGACGGACGCCTAAGCTCCGGGTTGCGGCACCTAAATGCTGCCCACACAAAATTGGGCAGAAGAGCCGACGCCACAGCACCGACCCTATGGCACCGACACTGTGGCGCCCAAAGAGTGGCGCTGCGACGTCGCCCTACCTGTTTCGCCTTTGCACGATTTTTTCTATTGTACTCCATTCCTTACATTTTATTTCAACTACAACTCTATTATGAGGATTTGAACGTTCCTTATTTATTTCCTATATATAGTTGGCTACTCATTATGATTTAGTAAGAAGTTAGAAAAAAATTAAACAAATCATAAACACACAATCTTTGTATTCTTTCTCCATATTGTAATAAAATCCCAATTCGTAGCAAAATTACATTGTTCTCATGTTATTGTGATCAATTACTTC